AAACGTGTCAGGATACACGCAATCGTTACCGGGAGGTCAACAGAAGCACGGACTCAAATCTCCAAGCTTTCATCAAGTACCCCACAAAAAAAAAAAAAAAAAAACAAGTTCCGCACTGGAGGACAAGTCCCAAGGACCGAGAAACTTCAAGGTTTGTGTTGATGCTTATATTGGATACAGGGGAGTGTGAAGGACAGGCTTAATCACAGCTCTGAGGGAGGTCATCTCAGACAAATCCCCCAAACCTCAAACCAGATGGCGGGTCCTGTTCCACTCCAGCTTTATCACCACAAAGACGTTTCCCCTCAAAATTTTTCCCATTCTGATACTCAAGAACAAGATGAATTTGTTTTCCCATTTCAGAAATACTGGAAAATTACTAGATCGTCAGTGCCGTGAATATTATATTATCAAAAAATGAAATAATAACATTTTTTTGATTGCATTATTAGGTTATTTTAATTTGTAAAATCCTTTAAAAGAATGGATCCCTTATGTTCACAAACCCAAGTGGTCTACAGCAACTCTGTAAACACAATCATTGGTAATGCTTCTGGAACAGAAATCTTTCCATGTTACTTTTATGCAATATAGCTGCACGCACTATCCGTGTGGGGGGGGGGCGTGGGAACGGCATCGCTCTTGGAGCAGAGGACGGCTCTCAAGTTTTCGAAGAGTACTGGGGTCCAGGGGAGATCGCTCGCATTTCTGACAAGCTGAAAACCACTCTCCCAGTACGACCAGCAACGTGGGCAGTCCTGCACAGTCCACAAAATAAACCTGAATAAGACTGACACTATCACTCTTTAGCCACCAACACCCAACCCCCCCCCACCTACATAATGTAAACTGATTTACCCTTCATATGTGGCAAATGTTTCTATTAATGTTTCCACTAACTATTAAGGGAACAGGCATCCGTTACTGACATTTGATTTTTATTTTTCATTTATATTCACATTTGAAATAATGAGTAATATTAGCCCTTCAAGTATCAATCAACCTCAGCGATGTTAGAAATTCTGCTTTATTTCTTGTTCCATCTACTCTTCTAATTCCAGTGAGAAACAAAGAAAACTGCAAATATGGCACAGAGGCAGAACACCACTGATGTTTGTCAAGAGTGGGTGCAGGATGAAGAAATGTAATTTTCTGTAAGATTTAAGCCAAGCAAACCACAGGCATCTACACTGCACAAAGAGGAACTGACTCTTACTGGGATATAGTGCCATAACCCATAATCATGTCCCAGTGCGTTTTGATTTAAAGAAATGCAGGTCCCTTACTTATCAATTACGAATGATTAATTTATCTTCAACGCAAGAGATGCTGTTCAATTATTTAAACTGCATGTATGAAATAGGTCATACAGAATGCTTGCTGTTCATTTCACTCTTAGAAATCATACAGTAATTGCATGTTTTTCCATAGATACCATGCTGCTGCATTAATATTACAATAGTTACAGACACTCATGTAAATACCAACAGTCTGTAGGAGGGTTACTGTTTACTAACTTTGAATGTGTTTTTTGAATGTCTTTTCTAAACATGCCATTTCGGCGGGCATAGTCTGTTTTTCAACATTTCATTTATATATTCACAATTGCAACTTACTGTGCCTGTTCTAGGTCCATAATTACATGTTAGAAAAAATACACCTGGATTTTAAATCTAGTGCATAATACTGCTTTTCGGAAGAAAAAAAAAGATGTATGCAGACAATTGATAAAGGTACCGTACACGCTAAATTTAGTGTGTGTGTGTAAATATATATACACACACACACACACACACACACACATATATATATATATATAATTAGTGCTGTCAAACGATTTAAATTTTTAATCAGATTTATCACAGGGTTGCTGTGGATTAATTTTGATTAATCACGATTAAATATCATTCATTTTTAATCTATATTAATTGCATTTCATTTTGCATGAGCAAACAGACTCAAGAAAAAAGGTAATATATATGCACTTAACGTGTTTATTGAACATCTTGAACACGAGTCGGATGCATTCCATCTGCCACAGAAGTGCAATACCATGGACCCATATCAAAAAGCAAGAATTTTTGCTTAGCTGGACAGCTTGTCGGATTTAAGGTACCTCAGTTTAAATGGTCTTTGTCTTCGTTCACTTACAATTAGCCCGAACTATCCGACAAATAATCCGACTAATCATGAAATCCAATTCTAGCCCAGTTAATTGCCATTGTTAGCAATATTAGTTGATAACACATTACGCGTGGTGCTTTATGTATAAAACTCCGTAGCAACACGTCCACAGATAAGTTGAACGGTATAGTGTGTGCGACCGATTTAATGAGCCACAAATGAGAAATACTGCTTAAACAGTATAAAACTACAACTTTCCCTTCTGTTGTTAAAGGGAGCAGCCATCTTGGATTCTGAACTTGGGATCCTCTGTGCTGCTCCAAGATATTTCTCAGATCTCCGAGAAACGGGACTGCGCATGTCGTCACTTCCGGCTTCAAAACTCGGAATCCAACTCTGAATATGAGTTCCGAGGGAAAATGGAATGCACCAAAACTGCCCGAAATGGGCATTTCAGGGATTTTGAGTCATTCTGTGCTGCAGATGGGTTAATTGCGTTAAAAATTTTAATCAGATTAATCATGATGATGGATTAATCCGCGTTAACCCGTTAATTTTGACAGTCCTAATATATATATACA